TGCTGATGGGAGAGCTTCTTCCACTGGCATAGTTAATCCACCTCCCTGAGAGGCGGTAGCTATGTCAGGGGGAGAAGCTCTCCCGTTGACACAGCGCTGTCTACACGGGGGGGTTAGGTATAACTACATTGCTTGGGGGGGGCGTGGATTTTTCACACCCTTGAGCAACAGAGTTATACTGATATAGATCTGTACTGTAAACCTGGCCAGAGATATCATACCCTTAACACTGAAGATTTACCGCCAGAAATTACATACGTACTCTGTAAACCAACAGTTCTCAAATGTTAGCAATCCGAGGACCCCCATTTTGATTTTAAATGTTTCACGGACCCCAACCCCGCATTCAGCCCCAGGCCCCACCCCCCACGGTCCTACCCCCACCCCACCTCTTCCTGCCCCTGCTCCACTCCACCCCTGCCCCTCCTCTTTCTGCCCCCTACCCTGAGCATGCCCCATCTCTGCTCCTTCCCCTCCCTCCCAGTGTCTCCGGTATACCACTGAACAGCTGTTCCCCAGCATGCAGGAGGCACTGGGAGGGAGGGGAAGGAGTTGATATGGGGGACTGGCGGCCTTGGACATGATTCCGCCCCCTTCCCCGAGCGTGCCCCATTCCCGCTCTTCCCCACCCCCAGCGCCTCCTGCACGCTGCTCAACAGCAGCTCCCTAGTGTACAGGAGGTGACTGGGAGGGAGGGAGAGGAGCTGAAGGAGGGAGTGGGAGAAGTTGATCTGCAGGGACGGCGGACCCCTTGCAGTACTCTCATGGACCCACAGGGGTCTGCAGACCCCAGTTTGAGAAATGATGCTGTAAACCATTGTATGTAAAGTCTATATAACTTTGTATTCTGCAACCAGATGTGTGTGCACCAGACCCTGAAGTGTACTGATTGTGTAGTTCTGGTGCAAGACATTTATAGCTACCATAAATAAATTAGAGTATTCTGTATTAAAACAAATGGCTTAACTTTTTCTTCTTAGCAACCATCCTACAAGAAAAACTGAAGTATTCATTTCTTGGCAGCTATTTTTTGGGAGAGTCAGAATTAAGGTTACTGTTGAAATCTTACGTTTATTTTCATATCTAAATTTTTGCTAACCATTAACTAAGAATTTTCAAATCTTTACATAAGTTGCATTATTTCCATACTATTCCATGGCGAGGGTGTCCTTGGTGTTTGTTTTTTCTATTTCTATTTTTCTATTTAATGTTATTTACTGTAGCAACATTAACAACATTTACACTATTAACCCTACACATACACTTGCATGCACTGAAGCCTATATTAAAAACGTTGTGTATAAAACTATATACACTGAACTGTTTTCAGTGCACAAATATCTGTGCACAATATTCTACACAGTCAAACTTCAACATACATAAGAACTTATCTGACAAAATTTTTATGAGCTCAACTGTGCTAGGTCCTTGCTGCTTCGTAGGGTTCACTTCCCTCCCCAGAATGACACAATACTTTCAGAACTTGAAAAGCTGAACATGGACCAACAGTGAGTTTAGAAGCACCCATGGCTTAGTTCTGCTGAGTTTCTAAATTCAGTTATTTGTTCTGAGGATCTGAAGTGCATGAAATAGAATGGGTCAGCTGGGAGGGACTGTGACCTGGTATCCCATACTTAAGTTTTGTCTGGGAACAGATGTGGCATCCAGGGAGGGAAGGAAACTTTTCTAGTGCATGCCTTTATTCTGCAGTGAATTTAAATGTTTGGAGGAAATGCCATATGTACAAACTGTTCCCTGCAAAAAGAGTTTTGAGAGTTTTCACTAGTGACTTCAATGATTGGTGTAAACAAATTACTGGTAAGAAAAATGAGTACTTTGGTTCACTTTAAAAAACAAGCAAGGTTTGTAAGGAGGTTCACAATCATGGTAGAAGTTTACAGAGCAGACAGACCTGTTTAAACATAGTTGCTGGTCTACTTTGGTTTCAAATGAACCTGGTCTTAATGTCTAATACCAGGAATTGTTTAATAGTAGTAGTCCTCACAATTCTCACTAAAACACTATGCCATGCTGACACTGAAGGGGAAGCAGGGAGGAAAATACATCATCAGAGGACGCATCTACCCCACAGAACGTCACCAGTTTTGTAACTAGTTTGTAATACAACTGACTATGTACAGTTCATGTCAAACAAAGCATGGTCAACACATCTGATGTAGGTGGTAGCACATTTCAGCCATGCTTTATAACATGACTGTCAGGTTTGAATTAGGTTCTAACGTGGTTCAGCTGTATAGATGGGATCACTTAGCATCTACTGTAGCCAATGATCTTACCTTTCATCCCTCTGCTGTAAGAGTATCCCAAACCACATTGCACCTTGTGAAAAAAGCCCACAATTGTCTGTCTCTCACACCAGCAGCAGAGACAGTATGAGTTAACTGTCCAGGATTTTCTCCAGAAGGCACTGACACAACATAACTATGCAGCATGGTAGCTGTGGACAGGCCAACAGAATTAACATATGGTTGGACCAAGAAAATGCTCCTGTGTGGGCAGTTAACCATATTAGGTGTAGTTGTGTCAGATGAAGCTATGAAAACCTGGTTACACTTATAGTGGTTCTATATGCAACGCAGACATGGTCAAAAACAGATTGCATCCCCAGCACACAATTCTGTAAGCATAAAATAACAGTCTTAACTTAGATTTTGGAATACAGGAACTCATCGCTTAACGTTGTAGTTATGTTCCTGAAAAATGCGACTTTAAGAGAAACTATGTTAAGCGAATCCCATTTCCCCATAAGAATTAGTGTAAATAGGGTGGGTTAGGTTCCAGGGAAATTTTTTTCACCAGACAAAAGACTATATCTATATATATAGATATATACACACACACACACTATAAGTTTTAAACAACTTAATACTGCTAAACAGCGATGATGATTGTAAAGCTTGGTTGAGGTGGTGAGGACAGAGGGTAGGATATTTCCCAGGGGAGGCCTTACTACTAAATGATGAACTAGCAACTGGCTGAGCCCTCAAGGGTTAACTCATTGTTAATGTAGCCTCACACTCTACAAGACACCAGGAATGGAGGGAGGGGAGACAGCATGGCAGACAGAGACACACACCCTGTGTGTGACAGAGAGATGCGCATTGCTCCTTTAAGTACACTGACCCCACTCTTAAGTACACTGCCTTTTTAAGTTTATCAGCAAGCTCAGATGGTAGCTGCTGCCAGGAAGCTCCCTCCGTCCTGAGCCCTGTGCTGTCTGTCCCCTGCTCTATGGAAGATGGAGTAAGCTGGGTGCAGGAGCAGGAGGGAGGGGGACACCCTGACATTAGCTTCCCTTTCCTCCCCCACCCCCCGCAAAGCAAGCAGGAGGCTCCGGGGAGCAGCTCCAAGGCAGAGGGCAGGAGCAGCACATGGCAGTGGGGGGAGGGACAGCTGAACTGCCATCAATTGATGGCCTGCTGGGCAGCTGCCGCACAGGGAACTTAGGGGAACCAGGAGCTGATAGGGGGCTGCCCGTCCACCCTGGTTCCAAGCCCCCACCAGCTAGCTGCAACGGGCTGCTATTCCTGCAAGCAGTGGATAAAGCAGACAGTTGCCAAATGACGTTACAAGGGAGCACTGCACAACTTTAAATGAGCATGTTCTCTAATTGATCAGCAACTAAACAAGTTAACCAGGACAACTTTAAGTGAGGAGTTACTGTAGCTAACTGCATGGGTTATGATTAACATGAACTGTTGAGGAGTTTGGAAATCAGCAGGTTTTCCAGTGCAGTTTGAAATAACCAGTCACTGTAAGTTCACCTGTATCGTCTGAATGGCCTAACCTAATTATTTCTTGCAACAAATTGCAAAGTGTAGAAAATATTACAAGCCTCCACACTATTCATTATTACAACACTGTGATAATAGCACTAAGTGCCACTGACAGGGCAGAATGCTCATTTGTAGTATTTTTTACTTTTATTTTTTGCAATTGTTCAAACAAATCAATAGGTTAAGCAACTGAAAATGAACACCACCTTATTGTAAGTAAAGGTTTCCTAGCACTCTGGAAAACACGCTGAGTTACAAAATGTACTATTAGAGTCCAATGCTTTGAAAACAAATATATCCCCTTAATTTCTCAAGCTTTCCCATTATGTAAAAGTTGAATGTTCAGGGCTGTAGTTGCTTTAAAAGCATATTTTAGACAATGTGTTTCTAAGAATACTAGTGTTCAGAACAAATTGCTGCCTACAACAGAAACTTTTAAATTACATAGAAACTGTACAAGCACAAAAGAATAAGCCACTTCAAATAAATGATCCCACCACAGCTAAATACAGTTTAATTATCAAACCTACAAGAACATAAAATTAAAATCTTGTTCTATATGATTCATTCAAATTGAAGTTGGAAAAGTCCTTAATGGGTCACTCAGTCTTCTCCTGACAATCCACAATTTATGTGTGTTGTTACTATTTTAAAACAATGCTACTGTAAAGGAGTTTTTTTTTGTAAAAACAGTAAAACAGACCTGTTGCACCCTGAAAAAAGAGTCTGCACATCCTGCAGCACTTTGGCCACTAATCCATCAGAATTAGAAACTTGAAAGCAGTGACCAATAGCAAAAGAGGCAACTACTCCATGCTCCCTCCTCCTCTGTTCTGTCAGGGAGCACGCTGGAGAGAAGGGACTGACTATTAAGACAGCAAAAGCCCATTGCAAGGATCTCATGTGGAGGAGACCGTGCACACACACAGAGCGGAGCCTGTCTATAGTGCGCAAACCTCCAGAGGACTCTTTACAGATACACCCCACAATACACACCGGGGACACGCATTTAGAATGAACGGGTTTGTCGGGTACACCCATACGCTGAGGCCTGCCCCCCGCTCACACATATACAGCCCCCCTCAGACCCCCACAATCACATACCGCCCCCCACCCGCTCTCACACACCTCCCCACTCATACAGCCCCTCATGCACTCACACCCCCCCCGCCCGCACAGGCACCCACTCTCCCCCATTCTCACCCCGCCCCACCGCCGCCGCCGAGTCGTTCACCCCGCAGAGGGCCGGTCGCTGGCGGGGCTCACCCTTAACGGCCCGCTCGCTGGTGCCGTGAGGCGGCGGTGGCCCCTTGCTCCCCTCCTTGGCGGACATGGCGGGGCGCGGCCGGGCTCCGCTCCCGGCGGCGACTGCGGCTCTATAGGCTCCGGGGTCACGCGGGGGCGGTGGCAGCTAGAGGCCCCGGGCGGCAGCGGCCCAAAGGAACATGGCGTCAGGCGAGACTCCGAGCACCTCACAGCGAGGGGACAGTCCGCCTCGGGACCGACATGCACCGCGCGCCACCCCACGACTGGAGGCTAAGGGAGCGTGGGAAAACTCTCCCTCCCGCTTCCCGCAGCATGGCCCTAAGGGAGCGTGAGAAAACTCTCCCTCCCGCTACTCCCGCAGCATGGCCCTAAGGGAGCGTGGGAAAACTCTCCTTTCCGCAGCATGGGCCTAAGGGAGCGTGGGAAAACTCTCCCTCCCGCTTCCCGCAGCATGGCCCTAAGGGAGCATGAGAAAACTCTCCTTCCCGCAGCATGGCCCTAAAGGACCATGGGAAAACTCTCCCTCCCGCTTCCCGCAGCATGGCCCTCAGGGAGCGTGAGAAAACTCTCCTTCCCGCAGCATGGCCCTAAAGGACCGTGGGAAAACTCTCCCTCCCGCTTCCCGCAGCATGGCCCTCAGGGAGCGTGGCCCCAAGGTAAAGTTCCATTCAGCTAATGGCTCATGAGGCTGATACAGCAAAGACACCTCAGTTTCATAGTCAACCATACACACAGGAGAGACATGGCCAGAAGCCTGTCCAACTGCTGTGGATTGGCCTAACTTGATGGACTAGGTACCCATTTTGCAGCTGGGTGAACTGGAGCAGGCCTTTGTGTGTGAGATTTGAATCCATGAGCATCGAGATTGTAGTACAGCACCTTAACTGCTCAGTTCCACTCTTTGAGATGCCCCTACGGGAGCCTGGTGTGTGACATTTCCATTCAATATCTTTGAGGACCTGTGACAACTGGGGGATCATCCAGCTCCATTAGGAGTTCTGTCACCACCTGCCCTGGCACCTTGGGGGGCCGTAATGCTATGGTTCTGTGGCACAGAGCCCTGTCAATACTGGCCAGTCCATAGGCATGGAGGTCTTACCCTGACTTCTAGCAGTCTAGTTACTCATTGCACGGTGACTCCTAAGCCCTTCCAATCCCATGTCTCACCAGATCCATCCTTTCAGAGTTCTTAACTACCAGACACTCAGACTCTGGTTCATCATCCCTAAAGGTGTGAAAACTGCCCCAGTTATCAGATCACTTTAGCACACACACTCCACACAATAGAGACAATAAACAAAAAGTTTATTTAGTAGAAAAACCCTAGATTCAAAGATGAAATAGGAAGGGAAGCAAAAAAGCTACACCAAAAATAAACAGATGCAAGTTCAGGCTTCACACATCTACATTAGATAAAGTCTATTTTCTAACACAAGTTACTTACTGCCTTTGAACAGTTTCCCAGAGTGCCCCGGGCCAAAGAGGGAATCCAGCATTCACAGACAGTCCCCCACCTTCAAGACCACCCCTCAGTTTTTGATACCTTTCACTTCAAACCCCTTCCTTTTTAGCAGGCTAGCAGAGCATTTTTTCCTCTCTCTCAGACTATAGTGATTCATGGTGGGGGGAAATTCCCTCTGGATGTGATAGTCAGAATGTCTCAGCATCTTCCCATTAACTATGATGGTCCATAATTTGTCTTTTCCTGAACTGTACCATGGACTGTTACTTGCATCTGGTTTTCTGTAAACATCTGGCTTGGGAAGAGTCCCACTCTGCAGTGAGGTGTATTTGAAATTGTAAGAAGTCATGAGCATAGTATACTATATACATCTTCACAGAATCATAGAAGATGAGGGAGCATGGGGAGGAGGTGACCAGCCCTCTGATGAGAAAGAAGTGGTTTGGGACTATTTAGAAAAGCTGGACGAGCACAAGTCCATGGGGCCGGATGTGCTGCATCCGAGAGTGCTAAAGGAGTTGGCAGATGTGATTGCAGAGCCATTGGCCATTATCTTTGAAAACTCATGGTGATAGAGGGAAGTCCTGGACAACTGGAAAAAGGCTAATGTAGTGCCCATCTTTAAAAAAAGGGAAGAAGGAGGATCCTGAGAACTACAGGCCAGTCAGCCTCACCTCAGTCCCTGGAAAAATCATGGAGCAGGTCCTCAAGGAATCAATTCTGAAGCACTTAGAGGAGAGGAAAGTGATCAGGAACAGTCAGCATGCATTCACCAAGGGCAAGTCATGCCTGACTAATCTAATTGCCTTCTATGATGAGATAACTGGCTCTGTGGATATAGGAAAAGTGGTGGATGTGGTATATCTTGACTTTAGCAAAGCTTTTGACACGGTCTCCCACAGTATTCTTGCCAGCAAGTTAAAGAAGTATGGGCTGGATGAATGGACTATAAGGTGGATAGAAAGTTGGCTAGATTGTCGGGCTCAACGGGTAGTGATCAATGGCTCGATGTCTAGCCGGTATCAAGCGGAGTGCCCCAGGGGTCAGTTTTGTTCAACATCTTCATTAATGATCTGGGACGATGGGATGGATTGCACCCTCAGCAAGTTCACGGGTGACACTAAGCTGAGGGGAGAGGTAGATACGCTGGAGAGTAGGGATAGAGTCCAGAGTGACCTAGACAGATCGGAGGGTTGGACCAAAAGAAATCTGATGAGGTTCAACAAGGACAAGTGCAGAGTCCTGCTCTTAGGAAGGAAGAATCCCATGCACTGCTACAAGCCACCACCCCAGGGTCATCAGCAGCCACAGTTGGAGGACCCAAGCCTCCCTCTCCACCAGGTACTAACCCAGGGCATTGGCAGTGGCAGGATTGCCTGCCACCAGCTCGATGGGCATCCTGTCAAAATACTCTGAAATAGTTTCCAGTTCTATAACTGGTTCCCAGCAAATTTTCCCTGGGTCACTTCCTACCCATTTCTCTCCAGGATGCCATCTCAGGGTTCCCACAGTCACTCCTTCTTCTGGGGCACCAGGAAGCTGAGGTTTGTGGTTTTTCACCATCCGTGTCTTGAAGTGTCCACTGTTTTTCTGCAAGAGCCTGCAGTACACCTCCCTTCTCTCCAGCAATCCACCCTGAATGAGCTGGGCTGCTTCCTTTTATACCTAGTCTCCAGCCAGACCATGCCCAGCAGGGCCAAGGGGGCGTGGCCTCCTCAGCCCAAAGAGAGGAGTTAACCCCTGCAGTACCAGTGTGGGGCATGCGCACCCCATCACATCCCCTTAGGGTGTCTGGACCCTGATTGTCATAGGACCATATTGTACTAAGTTTATGTATCACTGTGGGCCAGGGACTGCATGCAGCTCCAGGGGGAGGGCAATCACAACTCCTTCAGGAATCAAAAACAGTGGGAGGTAATTAAGGTGAATCACTTAGGTTGTAAACACCTAGGGGGAGAGACCACCCCTTGCAGAGGCTGGCATAGACTGGTTCAGACTGGATTTTTCAGAGACCAACAAAGGAAGGGCTTTTGATAGAAAAAGGCTGAGTTTAAACTGACTCGGGCCTTCTTTCTGATCCAGCAAAAGGCCAGGATTGTCTGTCTCAGTAGAGCCCCAACCCCTGTGGTAGGATTGGAAAGATGTTGTTGTACTAGGGCCACATAAGACTGGTGGGCGACTCCTGGTATGTTCAGTGTATGTTTAAATCTGTTTATTGTTTTTATTATGTTTTCTCTGTAAGGTTTTACATTAAGAATAAATGTGCTTGCTTAAAGAGGGCAGGGTGGTAACAGCCAGCAATACATTGTTCCTAGCCCTCAGAGACAGACAACCCAATGCACAGACGCTAGCCTTTAGGCAGACTGGCTTACTGGGGATATCATAGTGTAAGACAGGTAGTATCTTAAAACCCCCTATCAGAAGGGAGTGGGACAAGGGTCCCTGCCCAGGAGAGGTGACACTGGACCTAACTAGGCACACCTGGAGTGGACCACAGAGGGTGGGGGAGATACAGGTGCAGTGACCTTGACTGTCCCAGGGTGCAAGGCAAATCTTCATTGGAGATGGCACTGTTGCCACCTCCTGGTGCAATAACAATTTTGCCAAGCAGCAGAGAGCCAGTGGCAGAGGGAATGGGGAGAGAGATGACAGCACTATGGAGTTCTTGGCTCCACCTTCCCTTGTGGTCAAGCTGCTACACAGCAGCCATGACTTGACCTGGGTGAAGTGGATGACCACGTCACAAGTCCACTTGACCACTCACTCAGCTGCTATGATCAACTTCCTGGATTCTGTGTGTTTTAAGCCTCTGGAGTCTGAACAGAGTCTAGGCATTCGCCTGGCTTGGGTGCCTAGGCACATGCTCAGGGTGCAGCTCCTTTTTCTAGTAGCTGCTCCTGGGAATTTAAATGCTTGGCCTACTGTACAGCATCCTGGAACCAGTGCAGACCCCTCAGGCTCCTGCATAGCTTAGATACACCATCTCCCAGAATCCCACCAGATGTGAGCCTTATGGATCACAGTTTAACCCTTCCAGGGGGCATACGCTGAAGTGTAGGACACAGCGCATACAGACTTTACACAGGACTCAAACCCAGCATTGCTCTTTCTCTAACAGCATGAGGAATACACAGTTCTATACAAAAATATTAAACTCTGCACACATTTCCCTGCCTCAGTTTTCTCACCACTCCAGAGCATTCTTTGAGTTGGGAACAGGGTCAGCATTTTTTTGTTGCAGTGCATGGCTTGGGTTCTGAAACATGGAGTCTCCTCTGATCTTAGCCAGTCCATCCCCTATCACGCTGATCCCCAAACTTTGTGTGTGTGTTCCCCATTTTGTATATGTCCCCCTACTTCCAACAATATCTGGCTTCTTTGTTCTGCCTTTGGCTACTTTCCACTGCTCCAAACCTCCATCCCTGCAGACCAACTTGGCTGAACCAGTTTCCCAACTAGGGCACCCTCTTTATCATAAACTATTGTGTGGTCAGAGTACAGCCCTTAAGGTTGACAGCTTTCCCTTATCCCTGTGTAGTGCTCCCTCACCACCTGGTTACCTCCTTTAATGCGAATCTGCTTACAGGTCTGGGTTCTTTTAGATCCTGCCACCCACTCAGCAGGGTGTATCTTCTTTCTTTTTTCCTATGAAATTATTTGGCGGTGCCTCCACCCCCCTCGCTCCTTCCTGGTAGGGTCACCAGGGCAGCTTGGGCAGAAAATTCTAACTACAGGGTAATCCCCACTTACTTGCCAGATAGCTGGAGACTTCCAAGAAATAACACAAACACAATAATTA